TGCAGCTTCCACTGGCGCTGTCTCTAGTGGAGGTTTTTTATTTTTCCAGATCCCAAGCAACTCCAATGAGAAGGTGGAAATTACTCCTCCCACTCGGCATTGCCTTCTCCATTTACATGGGGCTGGGGATACTGCTCCTTCAAAATCCACGGCATCCTTCGTTCATTTATTAACTTCCTATAAAGTGCCAGGTTCTGAGTCAGGTGCTGAGAGGGCAGCAGCGAGCAAGGCTCACATGGTCCCTGTTCCCAGAGGGCTCACAGGCTGATTAAGTGCGGTCAACATCGTCCTTTTGGACTCAGCTCTAGTGTGGCCGCCTGCAGGAAGCCCACCTGACTGCACCCACCCATTCAGGCATAGCTCAGTTTCTCCTCTCTGTTTCCTTGGACACCCTCCCATCACAGAACTCCTCACACCAAGCTGTGATAACCATCTGCTCTCACTGGAAAATTCCAGGGTGTGGCATATGTAGAATAAGGGGTGTTCATTCAAGCCACAAATATTTCCCGAGCAATTGCTTCATGTCAGAGTCTGTGTTAGGTGCTGGGGTTACAGCAAGGACCAAAACGCACATGGTCCCTCTCTCATGAAAGCGACTGTGCATATGCCAAGAATGGCCCTCACAAACATTATCTTTTTGGCAAAGCCAACCAGTCTCACAGACACAACCGAGCCCAGGCAATGTTTTACAGAAAAAGAAATGAAAGTCAGGAAGGGCCACAGAGCTAGCAAGGGACAAAGCAGGATTTAAACCTGGATCTGAATCCGTGCTTTCTCTCTTACTCCACACTACAAGCATCCATGGGCTCACATGCTCTTCACTGATCCTCATAACAGCTGAGTGGATATGGGACAAATTATGCTCATTTGACAGGGAAATAAACAGGGAAAAGAGGGGAGGTGAATCATGCCTAGGATCACAGATCTGAGGAGTAGGGCTGGGAGTTCAAATCGGCAGTATCTGACTCAGAACCATTGGGCATCACAGTCAGTGCCCTTCTCTAAAGAGGGACTTCGCTGCCTGGGGGTCATCAGGGACTCCCTGAGGTTCCGATTCCCCCTGGAATGTTCTTCAGGCACTTCCTCCCCAGGAAGCAGATAGCACATGCAATTTGAAGGAAGTTGAACGAAGAAACAATCGTTGATCCCCATTATTCAAAGGTTCTGTATTTGTGAATTCACCTAACTCACCAAAATTTATTTGTGACCCCTAGTACTGCAGTGCTTTCCGGGTCATTTGCAGGCATGTGCAGAGCAATAAAAGATGTTAGTGTTCTGACAGCACATTCTCAGCCAAGGTCCAACAAGGCAACGCTCTGTCTTCCCGTTTCAGATCTCATCTGGAAACAAGCATCATTTTTGAGTCTACTTATTAACCCTTTTTGTATTTTGGGGGCTTTTCGTTGGTGATTTAACTGTTTTAAATGGCTTCTAAGCGTCCTGCCAAAGTGCTGTTTTAAATGGC